AATAATAATAATGTCGCTGTGAAACCTTAATATTGTTAATCATATCATTAAAAATTTTCTTGTTATATATATTAAATAAAATAAGTTTAGTTCGTAATTTCTGATTTGAAGGTAAATTATCATCTTTAACAAATTTTAAAATCACAAAATATGGAGAGAGAAAATCCGATTATTAACCACCAGATTCAATATTTTTGTTCTCATGTTCTAAATGAAATATTTAGGAAACCAGATCGCATTTATCGCTCAAAATCGTAATTTCTAAATGGAAATTTCTTACAAAGAGTCATGAACCTTATTTAAGAATCGTTATTACATACACACAACCTATAAGCCACAATTAGATAATGCAATATGTCGAGATTACATAAACTTATTATACATATATTTTAGGTCCCAATTACACAATCACACAACGTACTGACAATCGATTATTACTTGTGGTACTTTTGTTCTCGGTTGTGATTCAAGTTACAATTTTTACCGTTCAGAAGATCGAACATGGGATCAAGCATGCACTAGAATGTTTTTCAAACGTGTTTTCAGTATTTCGCTTTAATATGTTTGGTACGTTGGACTCGACAATATAAATAGTTACTCATTGGATATCGCAGTGGACGTGTGTGATGACATGACTAAAAAACCGTGAAATGGACATAAATCACATGAAACCTGATGAAGGAAGGAATTCGTACGTACCCCATTAGATTGGAAATATAGAGTGTAATACACAAAACATCTTATCCTTTACCTTAAAATATTATATTAGATTGGAAATGTAGAATGTAACAAGCAAAAGGGCTGATGTTTTACCTTAACGTATTAAACTAGATTGAATATAATGAGCAAAGATCTCATATTTTACCTTAAAATAATCATATCATCTTATTTTATGTTGGGTATCGCAATGAACACGTGTGATGATATGACTTAAAAATCGTGAATTGGACATATCACTTATGTGCTTACATGAAACCCGTGGAAATGAACGTATTCATACAACCCATTAGATTGGGATGATGAGCAAAAGATCTGATCTTTTATTTGGCAAGAATCGGGTAAATTAATATGGTTCAAATTAGCAAAACCAGGGGCCAAAATTACTGAGTTCCTAATCTTACAAGTTTCATAAGAAGGTAAAAAGAATTTTTCCTTTATGCGCCCAAAATGGATTTATATTAAACCCTAAAAGAATACCTCCATTTTCTTCTGCTGGATTCGTCGTCCCTGGAGGAAGACGTTGCATTTGAGATATTGAAATAAAAATAAATAAATAAATAAATAAAATTCACCTTTCAATCTTGCATTGACTATTAAGTAGAATTCATGTTTTATGATAAAGTAAATCCAATGAAATTTGTCAAATCCAACTTTTAAGGTTTATATCATGTATTTTGGATCTTACTTTTATTTAGATTGATCGATTATATTACATGTACGAGTTTATCCTTAATTGCCTTTTGGGATGTATCCCCTCAAAGTCGGAAGAATAGTAAAATGGATGGAAGTTTTATTAATTCTACTTTATTCCTATAAAAAGATTTATTCTTTAAGGTGTTAATGATATCATAATATTCTATGTGAATGTGTAAGATTCAAGACCAGTGGACATTTCTAAATAGTAAATTGCCACATTCAAACTACAAACTAGAAGAACGACAGCCTGCCTTATTCTTCTCCCGTTCGTTACTCCTATTTTCTCGGAGATATGTGAATCTGACAATTTTCATTTGAAAGTTAATTTTTTTTTTATTATTCCTTATATTACCAAATTTTAGGGTGTGTTTGATTACATTTATTTTCCATGGAAAATATTGGTTTTCCATCCAAATTTTTACTTGGAGTGTTTGATTGCTATTTTTTTCCACGGAAAACATTTTCCAACTTTTGAAAATATGCCCAATTTTCCTTGTTTTTAAGGAAAATATTTTCCTTGGGTAGAGGTGGTTTTTATTTTCCACAAAAGATGGAAAATATTTTCTTTTCTAGGTAATATTTTCCATGTCAATCAAACACACTGTTAATGTTAGCGAGTAACTAGTTCTAAAAGTTAAGAATTTAGGGTGTGTTTGATTGCCATTATTTTCCATGGAACATATATTTTTTCCATCTAAATTCTTACTTTTGTGCTGTTTGATTAGTATTTTTTTCCATGAAAAATATTTTTCCACTTTTGATCACGTGATCACATTTTCAAGAAAATATTTTTTTGGGAGAGGTGGATTTTATTTTTCAAGCAATTGATAACTACCATAATTCAACCAAGGTAAACCTCTCACTCTCTCATAAGCCTTTCATTTCCCATTAGATTCTCTGCTTCACAAAACCCATTGATTTGTTTTTTCGGGCTTTCTCAATTCTCTGCCAATCAATTCATAATGTTGGCATTACCTCCCATACCACCGCCTCATCACGACGAAGCTTTTGCACTTATGGGTCATCAACAGTTTCGACTCAATGTGGACGAACAGATTGGGACAGTTCATATGCATGACAGTTCCAAATTATTTTCCGTTTCATGGATAATTTCTCAATGTCGATTTTTAAGCCTTCTGCTATTTTATTTATTCATTTGATCTCAATTTTCCTACAGGAGTTATTAGCTAAAATGATTTCTTTCTTGCGGTCGACTTCCTGAGGTGAAGTGGGCTGGAATGGAGGCTTTGGTAATTCTGTTTACATGTTGATGAATTCTGGGTGAGGAATTTTACTTCGTTGATTAATTGTAATATTTTCTCATGTAACATTACGTATATTAATTGTAGTAAATTCTGAATTTTAATTCCAATTTTGTGTATTTGATTGTCAATTTATGCATTTTTGTTAAAGCTGATAAAATTTGTCATTTTGATGCTTACCTTATATGCAAAGGCGGTGGGATTTCAATTACAGAAATAATTTTGGTTTGCAGATAATATCATCATTAATTGGCCTCATTATCCTTTGTTTTTAATGAACTTCTTTCGACTTGATATGGCTCTGCATGGACCCAATTTATCCTTTTCAATTACTAACGATTCTGTAGCATTTTCTATCTTATGTAGTCATGTGGATCTGTATTTTGACTTATTTTGCTCAAATTTCAGGAATATGTGTACAACAGGCTCCAATTAAGGTGAGGTTATGAATTGCAATCTTTGAAAAAGGAATTTGATTTTACTTGAATTGCTGCGAACCAAAGATGACTTCAAAGAAGCAGATTAATGGAAAATTGTATTTCCACCTGTATTGCTTGCTTGTGATGAAAAGATTTGTTTATCATTTCAATGATATCCCAGTTAGTAATTTGTTGTGACTGTATACAAGGCCGATGATGGTAATGGGAGCCCTCCTTCCTGTTTTGACACGGAAATATCCACCTCATGATTCATGAATACGTATTAATTGTGCTTTTGGTGGTGGGTTTGATCCTTTTCACCATAGCAAATGCTCATAATTCGCCGAATTTCAGTGTGATTGGTGTACTCATAACAAGTCTCCCAAGAAGAGATCCACCAATCCACCACCTCCCCCTCCTCCTCCTCCTCCTCCTCCCATGGTCGAAAATGAAGCTCACAGTGAAGACAACATGTTTCAAATTGGAATTCAAGTAGCAGAAGAAAAAAAAGATGCTGGTTTTATAGTTAGATGCTTCACATGTAATTAACTTTTTATTCAATTTTATGGGCATCAAAGTAGTAAAATAACTCTCTCACTTACCTGCGCGTCAAAGAAATTTTAGACGTCGCAAGAATTGTGACATCTTTTTTAACTGGTATTTTCAATATTCGAGAAATTCTAGACTCCATTCGTGATACATGAAATTAAGTATACGAGTGTGTCAACACACACACATTTTAAAAGTTGGTTAAGGGTGACATAATAGTTTGCATAGAGTTAATATAATGCAATTATTAAGGTTCCTATAATTAATTAAATCGTTGACATTCAAATCACGAAAAAAAAAAAGGATGATACTGGTTAACTCCACTAAATAGGCTTTTGTGATAGACGAAAGTCCTAAAAAATTGATTGAAAATTTTTCATTGAAAAAGTGACAATTTCCATGGAAAATGTGACAATTTTCATGGAAAATAGTGCCTATCAAACAATAAAAGTTGGAAAAAACGACAATTTCCATGGAAAATAATGATTATCAAACAGCAAAAGATGGAAAAGTACAATATTTTCTAGGTAGAAAATTAAGTCAATCAAACGCATTTAATTGACAATTTTCATGAAAATAATTCCATGCAATTTTCCTACTTGTAATCAAACACACCCTTAGTTCCTCCTTTTAAGCTATAAGAAAATTTCTAAATAAATTGGCATTTTAGTTGGGCTCGGGCTAACTAAATGTTCATAATATGTACTTTGCCTAAATTCTTGAATGACACATTTTTGTAAATGAAGTTGGCGTAACATGACATAATTAATCCAACGATTCATTTTGCTATTGATCAGGGTTTCCTCCAACAGCTTCTTTTCTTTAATTATTTTTTTACCAATATTAATGAGTCAAACAATACTTCATGAGTTAAGGGTGGTTTCTTTATTTAAACACCTCACTTTCATTTTCTTGATAATTACTGACTGATTTATTTACAATTTACGTTTTGATGTAAATAAATAATAAGCTTATTTAATTTAGTAAGACAATGGTCTAGACTAAATAAATGCTAATGAAGTAGGACTTTTGGCACGTTAACTTTGTGGGCGATTAGGGGCATCTTCACTTATTATTCCTAAAATAAATTGCTAAGGATTCCAAGAGAGTAAACCTCCCTTTATCTTCATATGCACGCTTTAACATTAAATAAATGAATGTGTTGGCTAATTATGCTATTATGTGAGCTTGATATTTAATTATTACATTTTATGATGTTAATGCTTTTCATTTCATATTCATATACATCAATGCATTCATAAGCATATATGAAGTTTCAAGAAAAATAAAAGTTTCTAAATGTCAATGAGTCAAGGAATCTTTTTAAAGATATATATCCTGAATATTTTGTTACCAGATGTATGCCTATGTCATGAAGGTGTGAGTGGGGAATGGAGCGTGGGGGACCGGCGCACCCGACCATTGTCCAATGATGAATATTCAATGTTAATGTTAATGTTAATGTTAACCGCTTTGCAGTACTACCAGTAGAATTTGATCGGATTCCAAATAATATAGCACCTGCATTCTGATTGGCTACAGATTATCAAGTGAGCTCATGACGTTAATATTTTTTAAAAATGAAAGAATGGAATACATATTGAGAAATGCATTACTTTGCATATCATCAGTATGCATCATGTACATGGGATTTGCTTACTGAGCATTAGCTCATCCCATGTTATCCTTCTCCATTTTTAGATTGTGAACATAGGATGATTCGAGATGATGGCTCGTGGTGTCACGGGACTCAGAACCAATATAGTTTAGATTTGATATCACTTTGAGATAAACTTAAGTTTAAATTAATTGTCTTATATTTTATTACTACTAGTTTTCCATATGTCATTTTTAAGGTAATATTAAGTTATTAACGTGTCAAAAATATATATTCAGTTCTTTCAGTAAATCTACAAATTTGATTAATTGTTTAAAATGATAAATAGAAATGTAATCTTCATATATGACAAACTTTTGACATTAAAATAATTAAAAATTTATTAGAAAATTTTCTAAATGACGTCAAAAATTTTATTAGCTTATTTAAAAATTTAATTGATTGAGAGGAAAAAGTAACAATAAGAAAAAAAAATTATAAAAACAATCGAATCTCTTTAACATATAAAAAAAAATTAGATGTTAAAATATCAAGATGAAAAATTAGTTGGCCTCAATTTTGTATTGCTATAATTGAAATGTATTTTCTGGGGATATGATAAATGTTCCCTTGATGCATGGATTAAAAACCCAAATTATTGGAGCTAATAATTTATATATCAAACATTATTTTACATATAAAGGACTTATGTGATGATAGCTATATTCAATATAATTAAATCGTGTAATTAATCGACTCTTTTTTTATTGTTCAATATCCAATCGATTTAATGAATTTCTTTATTTACGTATAATATTATTTTATGAAAGATTCTGCGATTGAAAATAAAAGAGAGAAAAATGAGAAAAAAATTTAATAGAGCCAAACACAAGGTAAGCCACAGTATAATATTTTGTACTTAAATGGGGTTGAGATTTTTATTTAATCACCCAATTTTGATATATTTGAATTTAATCCTCCAAAATTTATATACATCTAAAAT